CGCGGGGCGGAGGAGGCGCGGGCGGCGGGCGGGCGGGCGCGGGGTGCGCCGCGCGGTTCCCGGCGCAGTGGCGGCCGCTCTCCCGGCGCTCGCTCAGCTGAGGTCCGCTCCACAACAAGATTTACTTTAAGACACAGCTGAAGGAAACAGGAAGACTGCACGTCACAGTCCCACTGACGTACCCGGCCCCAGCACCCAATCGCGAGGCGCCTTCGGATTCAAGGGGGGACAGCGAGGCAGGAGAACTTGGGAGGAAAAAAAAAATACATGTATATAAAAGGGGTGGGGGCGAGGGGCTGGGGAGGAGGAGGGGAGAGGGGCCCCGCGCTCCCCCGCCCGGCCTCCAGCCCCGGCCCCCACCCCGCCCCGCCGCGGCTTGGGGCGCCTGCACCGCCGCGCCCCGGCCGCCGCGAGCCATCTGCGGGCGTTGTGCACCGCGGCGCCCGGCTCGCACTCGCTCTTCCAGGACGCAGGTCTCTCTCTCTCTCTCTCCTTTTTTTTTTTTTTTTTTTTTTTCTTTTCATTTCACTGATGGAGATGACCGAGTTCTCCCAGCGGCCGTCTCCCCAGACTGGGGCGGAGGGCTCGGAAAACTATCCTCCCGGAGAAAAAGTGGTGGTTTTAGGAGGGGAGGCGGCACGAAGGAGGGAGTGTGTCGGGGTGGGGGGTGGGGGCGCAAATCGTTCTGCTTCGGAAACGACCGTAAATAGTATCAATAAGACCTGTCACCCTGGCCTCCCTTTAAAGGGGGTGAGCAAACGCAGGTAGGTTTAGGATTTTTAAAAACTAGGTGCCAGAGATTTCACACTGGGGCCCATAAATCTGATATTAAAAGCTCTGCCCGCACTGGCTGAGCCCGAGTCAATGAGACCTGAGAATTTGCAGGCAGGCTGTCCAGCCCTGGTTGCCTTTAAGGATATTATTTGAATTGTAGGCATAGCGAGCGCATGCACTACAAACACCCTTTCTCCGTCGGTCACCCTTCTCCAGTTCGCGCACCCCAAGAAGGCCAGAGAGATTAGTCCCGTGTGGGATTTTACACAATTTCGAAGTCTGAGTGACAAACTAAAAGTTCATTAGGCAAGACAGCGTGGACTCCAGCTTGAATCCACGTAAAATGCACATTGGTTTGACATCTCGGATGGGAAAAAGCAGCGAGATTTCTTCGGATAACGTGGCTCCCAGAGAGGGCCTTGGCTTTCAGGGACAAATGCGAGCAGAGCCTCCAGCCCAGCTGAACGTCCCTTCCCTGGGCGCAGTCAGCAGCAGTGCTGGCTAAGGAGGCGTCGTGGGCGTAAACACCCCATAAAACCCGCGCCTCGCCGGAGCTGAAGGGCGCTGGGGAGGTCCCGACCGAGGAGATTAGACACTTTTTAAAAAGGTGATGCGGGACACAACGCGTTTTTCCCAGCCCCTCCAATTCAATCGGATCAAAGGTTGAGACGTGTTGTGACAGAGCATTTATGCACGCTGTGAGTACACTGACAAGACCCGCCACCGTCGCCTGCCACACGCACACTCGTTTTCCAGGACGTTCACAATGTCAGCCTCCGATTCATCAGAATGGGAAAGGGCATTAATCCCCCGGGGAGTGGGAAGGCAGAGTCAGGGTGTGTGTCTCAGGTCTGTGCCAGGGAGAAACTTTTGGCAGGCACGGAATTCAAACGTTGACAAGAAGAAGAAGAAGAAGGAGAAGAAGAAGGAGAGAGAGAGAGAGAGAGAGAGAGAGAGAGAGAGAGAGAGAATGAATCAGGTCAGCCAGGTTGCGGTTGGGTGGGGTTGGGGAGAAGAGCCTCATCTGAGCATCCCGGCCTCCTCTCCCCACTCCGGTGGTTAGGAAACAGCATTGCCCAGTTTGCTGGGCACACCTCCATCGATGGACTCCCGTGGCAAGAGTTCTGATCGGGGCTGGGGACTGAAATAATCTGCCCACGTGCCCGTCAGACGGGGTAGAATATTGGTTGGGTACCTTTGAGGTGAATGATTACTGGGGAGGGTGGAATTGGGGGTTCTGAGAATGGACCAAAGCTGCTTTCTTTCTCATTTTTCGTCCCTTTATTTTCTCCTGAAGAATCTGTTTGCGCTTGTAAGTTAGGGTCAGTTTGATGTCTAAAAGGGAGGGGATAGGGAAGGAAAGGGGTTGCAGCGGGAGAAGAGAGGCAGGGTGGCGGGAGAGAGTCCTTTCTGCAGTTTGTGAGTTGTCCAGCGTTCGGGTGCACGTTTTGCACACGCCACGACTTGGGAGCTGGCGGCGGGAAAGTTTCCTGAGCACCCTCAAATAAGTCCCCTATGTGTCTCGCAGAGGGGTGAGGTAGGCCTGACTCGAAGCGGGGTAACTGCGGGACAGCGCGCGTCGGGGGCTCGCGGCTCGCACACGCAGCAGTCCGCAGCCCGCAGCCGGGCAGGGGAGATGCGCGTGGAAAGGCCGGCGTGCGGGCCGGGGCGGGGGACCCGGGCTCGGAAAGCCGCGGGCTGGCCTGGTCGCGTCCCCAGCTCTCCAGGCCACGCTCGAGCCGGGCTGCCGGCGCGCTGTCCAGCTCCGGTTCCGAACCGCGCTGACTCAGGCGCGAGGCCCAAGGCCGCTGTCCCCGGCCACAGGAGGTTCGTTTTCTGATTAGGGAAGAGGCGGTCAGTCAGCGGGGAGACTTGGAGTCTGCGAGATACCTTCGTCTGCGAAGTCGGGGCCCAGCCTGGCTCCCCGCAAGCCCTCCCTATGCCCACTCTGGCCAGCGCTGCCCTGGGGTTTGAAGTGAGCCCAGTTCTGCTCCGCCCGGGCACAAGCCGCGCTGGTGCGGGCTGCGTTAGCTGCTTCACCTAAAGCGTGATCGGCGCGCGGCTAGCGAAAGGCGGCCGAGCACCGACTCCGGCCAAACGCACTTCGCCCTGGCTTTTCCCCGTCCCTTCCTCCCCCTGTTCTTTCTTAAAACCTGTAGGTGGGGACGAAGGGGCCCAGGCGGTGCTCGTGGGGCACTGGAAACCTTCCGAACGGCAGGCACCAGCGCCTGGAGCCGCTCTGGGGTTTTCAAGCGGACCCAGGGAGGACGTGAAGGTGGCCCGGTTTCGTGGAGGGGTGCTGCGGACCCACCCGGGCACCACCCACCTGAGGAGGCAGGAGAGGGGGCCCTGCGGCGCCCAGCGGAGCTGCCAGCTGCAGGTGGCCCAGAGGCGGCTGACGGCCTCTCGCTCTGCCCTCCTCCCCGGTGCCCGGCTCGATGCCGAACCCACGCTGGGCCTGTTCTGAGCGGGGGGGGGGGGGGGGGGGAGGGAAATGCCACCAGATCAGTAGCAAGCGGCAGCTGCCGCGGCGGGTCTCTCTTGGGAACCCCACGGCTCAGAAGCCTCCGAGAGATGTTTGTTTAACCAACAGCTTTCAAAGTAAACACGGGCGAGCCACTCCAGAAAAGTTGGGAGCCTCGAGGACTGGCAGAAAAGAGTAAAATAATAATAATAATATATATCTTAAAAATAATAAAGCTTTTCCCCACCAGATCAAAAAGAGTCCCCCACTTTACCATACAATCACGGACCTCACACACACGAACACTCTTAGGAAGGACTTATTCACAGCAAGGGGTCCTCAAAGAAAAACCCAACCCCCGGGGATGAGGGGGTGCTGATGATGGGGTGTGTGTGTCACACGGCAGCTTGGTGTGGGGAAGTGGACAGGAACGAACAAAGGGCTCGGGGAGGGCAGTCCCTGCCCTGGAGG